TGGTTTACGACGCATCCATTTACCTGGCTGTAGGTGTAAGATTCCTCACGAAGTGTGAATACCTGTTCTGGCATAAAGGAGTTCAGTCACACACTCTAGAGCCTTCTATAACTAGGCACAATCTTATCTTTGCTCACAATCGTTTCTATACACCAACCAGCGCTAAGCGCCGTCCAATATAAAAATTGGAGAAATGAAAGTGGCACTAATTCGGCGCTCCCTAATAGTTTACAGGACTTTGGAAATTGCCCCGTGTTGGCGAAAGTTCACGAAATGCACACCCCTTCTCAAACATGCGCTGCTCCTGGTTCCACTTCCCGAGCGCGAGAACTTTGAGGCTCACTTTTTTCAGCTTTTTTTTTCATTTTTCCTTACTAATATTCTTTCCAGATGGTCATTGAGTTGGTTGAGCTCCGAGAATTGGCAACTGCTCGTCTTATCGCGCGTCAAACAGATCCAATGCATTTGTTGAAGCAGATGGATCCTGAAAGGTATGTTCCCTAAGATATGTCTTCTTTACTTCGCCATTTTTTGAGACTCATTCTTTTCTCAGATATGCGAGATTGGACAACTTAATTAATCGTCCATACTTTGATCCAGGAGAGGTTTTTGGTGATGTCAGCAAAGAAAAACGGCGTCAGGCTATTGCTAATGTAAGTATAACTTTCATACCCTTCTTGTTCTTTTTCTGAGTTTTCTTTCGATTCTATTGCGTTACTTTTGAGTTCAGCTGATAACTAAAGGTGTGAAGAACCCGTTTTCTTGAAATTTGAAGGCCAAGGAGATTACACATCTCCACGACATAACTTAATACAAGCTAGTTTTTTCGCTGGGTTCTTGAGCATCACTATCTAAGCTGTCATATGTTATTTGAAGTACCAATGGAGGGCAAAATGTTGGCAGCTGCACCACCTCTGCTTTGACTGGGTCATGCTGATGACCTCACTCATTACTTTGTGAACAACGTGTTTCTGAACTTTGGCTGAAAGATTTTTTTTGGGCCATTGCCATTTTTTTGGGTGGGGGATGTGGACTGATGCTGACCCGTACTATGTTTTCTCACTCATAGTATGGCGGATAAGGCTGTTCATTACCGTTGGGCATGGAGACTTCCGTGAATATTGCAACAAACAGGAGGTCCAGTACCTTGTGAATTTGGGGGATCCGCGATGTGGACGAGTTTGTGATCCCGTAGAATCGGCGACAGGCGATTAGTTGGAATTCGATTGATTTTACTCACAAACGAATGGCACGTTTTCATAACTCGCGTATTCTCAACAATCGCAAAGGGCGCTAATAACCTTGGAAGGGCATCTAAAGGACTTCTCGTGCAAAACTGGCCTTTTCGCTCCAAATAAACCAGCACACTCCAATTTGGTTCACCCACCGTGGAGCTCATTCCTCCTCTTGCGCCCATGCAAAAGTCCATTTTAATTACAGGTACTTCTATTTTTGCACGAGTAGTACTTTTAATGTTCCCCCTCCCAAAGTTTTAGGACATCGGCAATTTGAACGGGGGCCTAAAATAGGAGGAAAGTCATCCATATCAATCATTTCAGTCCTTAGCTAGCGAAGTAAATGTGGTACCTCCATCTCGTCTTCTTGCTTTATTACAACAGTCACTCAAATGGCAGCTTCATCAAGGTCTTTTGCCACCGGGTATGTTTACTTTCGATCTTTGTTCTCTCCTGTTCGGTGTGTGGAGGAATTACTAGGTGTACTTCAGGTACTCAAATTGATTTGTTCCGTGGTAAGGCTGCGATGAGGGAGCAGGAAGATGAACGGTATCCCACACAACTGGCCAGACATATCAAATTTGGAGCAAGTAAGTCTCGACATGTAAATCGTTTCGTCATCTGACGGTCCGTTTATTATTACGTTCTTTGAGTTATTAAGTTTCACTGTTCATTTCTTGCAGCCAGCTATCCGTTGTCAACAGTATTCTCACCTGATGGACAATTTCTTGTTTCTGGTTCTAAAGATGGTTTCATCGAAGTGTGGAATTTTATGAATGGAAAACTTCGAAAAGACTTAAAGTATCAGGTAAGTTACTTTCAAACAGTTCGTTACTCATACCTACTTATTCATATGGTCCTATTCTGGACAGAGTCATGCCCTGCCTCGGGAAACTTTCACATGAACGATCGGGAGATGTCTTCGGGCCATGTAGGACCTGCTCTCCTCAGCAACCACTTACGATCCCTGTTGAACCTCCAAATGTCAAGGGCCCTAAGCGTTTGTTGCGGGAGAATTGAAGATTTCGAAAAAATTTCATCTTGGCTCTTTCGTCAGAGTTTTAAGTTTTTCGCAATAATCGTTTGGAGTCAAGGGAAGGTGGCGCAAGTGCAAGTGGCTCACTTACCACGCCCGCCGTCCGGACATCATATCCTGGATCGGCTTCCGCCCAAGCCAACAAAGTCTATAGACCAGGTTGCATTACAAATACCGCTACGAAAGTAGAATGCGTGCCGCATTTCATGAGGGATTGACCGTAGGAAGGACTTTATTCTTTTACTTCATTCTCTATCCTTTTGGAGCTACTTGTACTGTGCAACTCGTACTTTGTGTTCAGTTTTATTTGTTTGAGGCGGATTACTTCAGGCTCAAGATAACCTCATGATGATGGATGAAGGCGTCACCGCACTGTCTTTCTCACGTGATTCAGAGATGATTGTATCTGGTGGTATGGATGGAAAAATCAAGGTACCCCTGGAAGACTTGTGCTTCTACCTGTAATAGATTTTGTATTCTGAATTAATAGTCATGTATTCAGGTGTGGCGAATACAGACTGGTGATTGCCTCCGACGTTTCGAAAAGGCTCACACTGCAGCAATCAATGCTGTTCGGTTTAGCAAGGATAATTCACATGTACTTTCGTGCAGCAATGATCACATGATAAAGTAAGTTTCGATGCGGTTCGGCTCGGTGGGGGCACCAAATGGTACTCAGCAAAGTCTGTGTAGATCACCTAAAAACCTGTAGGCTGTTCTGATGAGATCTGTGAGTCAAATGAACTAGGAAAAGGAAGTGGCAAAGGTGCAGAATGCCCCTCCAAAGCCGATCAGGACTGGGCCTTGGTGTTCAGTTTTTTAGAGATCGATTTCTTACTGCGTCTTTTAGTGCATGGCTTAACGAATATTAAATATTTTATTGTGTAAAGCGTTTGCTTCATTTCAGAGTGCATGGTTTGAAGAGTGGAAAATGTCTGAAGGAACTGCGGGGACACACTTCATTTGTCACGGATGTTCGATATCTCGAAGAATCAAATCAAGCGGTGAGTTCTGGTAATAGGCACGTGTGAAATGGGAACTTAACTGTCAATTAGACCCTCCCTTCGTAGCAGGTGAAACCTTACTCTGCGATAGTTTAGTACAACCACCAACAAGTGGGACGGGCTTGATTGTATGCATATATCAGAATATCGTAAAAGCGCACGATAGTCGTGAAAAATGCGAGAAATTTCTCAGCTGATAACTTCTGGAGGAAGCAGCGCAGCGATTCATGACGTGGTTCCCGTAATTCAAGTGTTGGTGCCCGCTCAGATCAACAAAACCCTTCGATAGTACAAGTCCTATTTGTAGGTCTTGAACCATGAAGTAAGCTTCAAAGAGGCACCACTAAAGTTTACTTGATTTTACTTGCAGGGCACATAGAGGCTCGTCCAGACGATATGTTAAGGATCCTAAAATCGGCGGTGCAAGCTTTCTGGGTGCGGCTCAGCTTGGTAGGGATACTAGATTGTTCTCAGTTGATCTTGTACGGGCCACATTATGGAGACATGTAGTGAAAGGGCAAAACGCGCCTCCAAGCCGAACAGCGTTCATTTGGCTCCCCCTTTGAAATTCTCGCGCTTTATGGATCGTCTTGATTGCAATGGTGTTGATTTTGGCATACATGCGGATGCTTTTGCGATTTTGATTGGGAGCGGAATGTGTGGAAGACTCTAAAGGGATCTATCGACGCCATACGTATCATCCTATTTCACATGTGTTAACATTATTGCCGGCACTCATGAATGCAGACTGTGAAGCTTGGCTGGTGCGAAAGGGAAGGGGGGAGGGAAGGAATGTTGCTGTTGTTGCAGTCGCTGTTTGTGTTCGGATAGTCACCAAGCAAGCAAAGGAAGAGAGGATTTGAAGGAGAAGTGAATCAGTGAGGTTCCCCATACGCCGTGCGTTGGGGATTCTCAGCAAGAGGAGGGTCATGTTTGATCACTGGAGCGACAGGGTCGCATACGCCATAGAGGAAGACGTTTATGTTGTTGAATTTCCTCGGTTTCCTGTTTTATGCGCCCTCCCCCTGCTCCGCTCGACGGCAGTCTCTAGGAAGAAGATGGGGATTCTCGAAAAAATCTCTGGAAAAGTGGTAGGAAGTTGGAAAACTTCAGGAACATGGTAGGTACAATGGCAAATGGGGAAGGTGAGTCGTACCAGAGAGGTAAATTTTGATAGGAGAGGTCGTATTTTGCAAAAAATTTTCCCAACGGTAGAAGGTGTGCTGGCTACGCTTCTGGCTTGCTTCAGCAGGCATCCTCGAACAAGGGCTAGTTGTTCTAGCTTTCACACCGCCTGACTATACCATTGGGTATGTGTCAAGACAATCGCAATGCGCTGCGCTGGTGAGCGTCGCAGGCAACGTCGTGCCCACAAATGCGGATGTTTCAAAATCGTATAGGTCGACAGAAGGCAATGAATAACCAGAAATAGCTATAAATGTCTACAATGTCTTAGTCTACATAAAATTCAGTATTGTAATCGACGGACTAATGCTAATTAGGAAAACGCCGCTCCCATCGCCGCGCGCGGCGAAACGGCAAATTTGCGATTGTCTTGACCGTCTTCCCATAATGTCATTTGAGGAGTCGTTGTAGGAGCATAGCACTGTAGATCACGGCTGGAGAATTTTTGGTTTTTTTTCCTTTCAGTTATAACACCTTTCATTCCATTCTTCGATTTTTCATTTTCGGCTTCAAATTCTTTCTTTTACTTCTAGAGGTGAGTTCTGTATACTGCAGGTGTCTTGCTCTGCCGACGGTACGCTCCGAATATGGAATCTGAAGACTGCGGAATGTGCGACTACTTTCCGTATAGCTGGTGATATTGCTGTAAATTCTGTCACTCCAATCCCTAAAACAGATCAAATAATTGTTTGCAACCGATCGAACACGCTCTATATTGTGAATCCCCAAGGACAGGTATAAATTGCTTGTTCGTTGATATCAGTGACTGCTTTTTCGATTGATCAGCTGCTTGCAGGTGGTCAGATCGATGACATCGGGAAAACGTGGAGCGGAGGGTGAATTCATTGCATGCATAGTATCTCCACGTGGCGAATGGACGTATGCCGTGGCCGAAGATGGTGTTCTTTATTGTTTCCCATTGCTGACTGGCGTCTTGGAGAATACGCTTCCGGTTAGTGGAATATTTATTTTTTTTACTTGTTTGTTTTGCTTACACCCCGACCTTTACCGTAGTGCAGATGGAATGCGCCCTTATCTTAGTGCATGTCTAAAGT